AAGGACTGGTAGAAGAAGAATTTTCCCACAATGATATGAGTTGAGCTGACGTTTCCATTAAATTTCACATCCTTTACATCAACCTGGGTACTTATACTCAAATGCGCGAGTCTTCGTGTGTATATGTATGTGTGTGTGTGTGTGTGCGTTAACGCCTTTATGTATGGGTCATTAACTTTGATGACCCGGACATGATGCTAGGCTTTTTTGTAGGTAGTATATAGACTTTCATTTTGTATGAATGTGCTTAATGAAGAGCTTCGTTGGTTTATCCCACCGAAAGACGACGTCCGATTCCAATCGTGCTGCAGCCATTTTCCTTTCATCTGACTCCCAGTATGACGCAGACCACGTGACATCCTCCTTCATTTCAGGTGAAACTGGGCTAAGATTTAGTTCTTTATAGATTGGTTTAGTTACTTCCCATATACTCCATTGTGTCTGTCTGTATGTGCGTGCCGAACAATTGTCGTCGTTAAAGGAATCTCTTCACCATGCATTTGATAAGGAATTAAATTCTCCACAACAATTTTATATTGAGAGAGTCACTTAGTTTTTGTAATTACTCTGAGTTTCCTGACTTATTCTAGTAAATAAGTTTAAAAACACAAGCAGACTCACACACTTGACCAGATTTATATGAAAGAGGACTAACAGAATAATTCTATACCTATATATAAATATATAATTGTTTTTATAGAAATAAGTATATATAGCATGTAAGATAAATCCAAAAAGTCCTCTTGACTTAGGGTCCACCTGAGGCCTTGGCAATAATGGTTTCCAGTTCTGACGAGGTCCGTAATTTTGGGAAGAAAAGCTCCGCCTTTTTTTACCTGAACCGAGTGAGGATGTCCTGTGGACTGCGTATTAAAACTAAGCTGCCTCAGAACAACGGGAATCAGGCGTCCTCTTCCGGTGCGATCGCCCTACGCATCTCCTCGTGACGCAGTTTCCCGCCGAATGAAAGCTTTCACAACCCCGTGTCAGGTTGCCAACCGAGGCTGCTCATCCCATTTCCTTTCTATTTTCCATTTGACACGCCTGACTGGGCCAGGCCTGCTCCGGGAGCACTTCAACTCGTACAGCTACTGCTTCCTGCTCGGTGGCGCCTGCTTCCTCGGCTGTGCCAGCTGCCTCGTCTCGCTCTGGTGCCAGAGCAAAGTCCCCGGTTGCGCCACGTGCCTCCCGAACGCGCGACACGCTCTCCTCCGTCTCCGGCCGCCATCGCAACGACGCCAGCATCTGCTTGGCCACCAATTCGTCTGCCTGAGGCGATCGCCTCCGCCGCATGCATCTCAAGTCTCCCAATTCTGCAACGCCTGTCATTCGTCAGCGGGCCCCGGTGTCCTGGCAACCGGACAACTGGCCCGCCAGACGGCGCAGATGCCTAGCCTCGGTCTGGCTCTGCCTCCGGACATCGGCAAGTCGAGGCTTTCGGTCAACCTCAGCTCCGGTCCATCATTTCGTCAGCCTGTCCGAACACTGTCGCCTCGCGACCGTCTGTGGAGCCGAGGCAAACAAGACGGTATCATCTGCCGACTGGGACTCGACTGACGCCCGAGCTGAGCAGAAGATCTGACAGAAGACAGCAGCCGGGCCCTTAGAGGCTCCTTGAGTCAACTTCACCAGACCTTGGTGTAGATCCCAGCGAAAAAAATAACCTAATCGACCTCTGCCTAGCAGCCAACTATTCACACCCAAAAGTTCGTATGTACATGTATTATATTTAGTCATATTTGCTGTTAAAGAGTAAGTAAGGGATATCTCGTGTGCTGCACAAACAACGTAACAAAGAAAAATATTTTTACTACCATATTTATTTTTTGCACTGTGGCTCAATAATGGCATTGCTTGAAGGCATTAGCAAAGATTTTTTACGTGTGAATTGTTTTATATCCATTGCAGCATTGGCCTGAATAGCCGAATAAAGTGATTTTACTTACGTGCAATATATTCTTTTTGATAATGCGGTGGATAAGGCTAAGAGAAGAAGTAGGTATTCGAGACCATCCGTGGATAGTGAATAAGATTTCCAATCACTCTAGGTCTGGTAAGGTGATGAAGGACTTATAGTTTAAGTTCCCCACAATTATATGAGTAGAACTCACTTTTCCATAGAAGTACTTCTATATTGGTCGGACGGAACTGTAGTTTTGACATCTCCGGGGTCGCACCAGCACCCCATAAGGCTTCAAATCTGGGTAGTGCACTGTTTAATCTCGACACGCTGCCAGCACTCGGCGACGCTAATGAAACTCTTATTTAAAATTTAATCAAAGTCTCTAAAGCCTACTTACTCTGAATATAAGTAACGTAGTCGATTGTAATGGAAAAAGGCTAGTTTGTTTTATCTCCACTCCTACTATAAAAGTATGATATGCGAAAGACCCGGCCTTCCTTGAAATTCTATATTGTACTGTAACTCAGGGTCATTTATAGCACCGGGTTCGATTTCCGAAGAGGGTGCTAAGGAGACTAGGCGAGGAGGAATCTGAGGCCTAGCCTGGATGAGGATACCTCTTGGTAACCAAGGCTATTTGAGAGTTACATAAAATGTAGAGCCTACGCATAGCATTGGGGAAAAAATTAAGTCATGCCTTTGTTTTGTGATTCACACATTTTTCCCTGGCTTCCTGTGGACCTTGATGAAATACTAGTTCCCTCGCAGATGCTATCCTGATGAGGCAGATCAGCACTAAATCTCTGGTCTTTGTACCGACTTCTATTTGCCTTCTCTTTGACGACCTCAAGTATAGTTCGGCCTTGCAGGAAGAAGTGGGAAGGAACGCAGTGAGAA